TGTTCTTTTCTTATAAACATTATTAACATTTTTTTTTTCTTCTGCTTCTTTTTATTCATTCATGTATAATTATCACTTTTCTCTTCTTTGTTTTTTTTTTATTATTTTTTTATTTATGCTGTTTGTAATACAAACAACGAAAATAAAAAAAAAAAAATCTCTTTTCTTTTGTTTTTTCTTTTCTATCAATAAAATATAAACAGGAAGACAGGAACAAAAAAGAAGAACAGAGAAAATAGATGTACTTTAGGATAATGACATTTTTTTCTATGTCTCTCCCTCCCTCGCTCCCTCTCTCTCTCTCTTGTCAACAACTATAATAAATAAACGAATACAATATTACACATAGCTAACTCAATGAAAGTACCGGCAAATGTACTTTTGTCTTCATCTACTAATAATGGTGACCATTATCAATTGTCTATGTACAATTGTTTTAACTAGTTCATCAACAAATAATATAAGCAATCGAATTGATCCAATTGTACGTAATCTTAAACATATTGTTGATACAGCACTTCAAGATGATACATCGAATGATATTGATAATAAATTTTTAATTGAACAATTAAGTCGAATACTTGAACAAGAAGAAGGTTTTAGAATAGCTGATCGTAAACAAAGATCAATTTATTCAACCAGTGATGATAATACAAGAATTTTTGATGGATCAGGAGATCTTGAAAGTGAAGAATTACCACCAGTCTATTCAAATATGAGTATCGTAGCATTTACTATGGTGAGTTATTTTCCATCTTAATTCAATAAATCATTCATAATATAATGAGTCTATAACCATCTGGATTTTGTTTTTCGGTATCTATATTATGGATAGTTAATAGATGTTTTGCTAGTGCCCTTTGTGTTTATTGTTACTAATGTTTTTCAGTTTCTAGTATATCACTAGTTAGTGTTCTAAAGAAAATAATCGACTATTTTTTTTTTCTTTCATGCGAATAATAAAAAAAAAAAAGGAATAAGAAAGGAAATCAGTATGATGTTTATCACTTTCGTCATACATCTTTTTTCTCAAATGTCAAAGCTTGCTTATATACGTCGTTGTTTCTTGATAAATAAACAATTGTGATAGAAGATTATGTCCATATATTCGTACTATAAGTCGTCCACAACGATTGAATAATTACTTTGTTGCTATTATTACCCTATATATTGATTATTAATATACATAAGAACATTTTCTCTTTATATTCATATATATATTCGATTAGAGTGAGAAACAAAAAAAAAAGACTTATACAAACAATTTCTTATACAGCATATGTCGGATTAGTCTTTGTTGACTCAATATTATTGTTCATGATCATTCTACTTATTATAGTCATTTTTTTTCAGGTATATATTAATTATTATTTAACTTTTTTTTTGTTTTTATTACATAATTATCTAAACGTAAATGAATATATTTGTTTTCTTTTTTTTCTTTATTATTCTTTGTCACAAATAGACACATTTTAAATCAGTTATGAACATATAGAATAAATATTGTCTTCCATATTTTCTCAATATGTGATTATGATCTAGAAAATAAAGAAGAATTTTGTTTATATAATATGTTGTTGATAGATTTCGCTTAAGTTTGTGTTATTTTCTCATTTATATGTATTGATGTTGTAATCATACAGCTTAATCTTATATGCATAATTATAAATAGCTCACAGCTATAACTATAGACAAACCTGATAATTATTATTATTTCTATATTATAGGGAACTACTACAACTGCTTTCACTAAATATACACCTCGTGTAAGTTAAACAAAAAATACAACGAATAAAGAATAATGAACTATTATTTTCCTATTTATTTTATAGCCATATTCTCCATGTCATTGTGAAAAGGTAAAAATTTATGTAATAAGAAGAAAAAAAAGATTCAATAAACTTCATTTAAGGGTGAACGCGGCGAGAAAGGTGATGCCGGTATATGTCCGGCAGGTAAACGTCAATAGTATATTAATATTTTCTTTTTCTTATTATTATTCAATGTCATTTTTTATTTTAAAAGATTGTTCTGTAAGATATAGTACGACAACAAAAGATTGTCTTGGCTCACAAATTAATCTCGAACATCTGGCTCAATCATTACGTCAATTAATTATTGATACCAAAGTAGAAGAAAAAATTATTTCTATTATTATAAAATAATATTTATCAATTAATTTTCCATAGAAAATTGCTTATCGAAATGCTCTAGCAGTACCATGTGTATGTACACCATCATCAACAACAGTATCATCAATAACTACTCCATTTACTCTGGATTATAATACTGTATAAGAAAAATAATGAATTATAGAATTTTATTAAAAAAAAAAAGTTTTCTCAATTTTAGTATATGCGATTGAAAGGTGATAAAGGTGATCCTGGTACATCATGTTCATCAACATGTGTACAGTCAATGCAGGTTTACAAATGAATTCAATTTAAAAAAAAAATAGAAAAACATAAAACGTTTTTATTCGTTCTTTTCTTTTCTTTTTTTCCTTTCATATAGACTAATGTACGAGTATTTAAAACATTACATCAAGCAATAATTGCTTCATCAACTTATCCAGATCATACATATGTTCATATTGTTAATGACCATGGACGTTTACAAGGTGTTTACATACGAGTTCATGGTCAATTAATACCATTACGATTAGAAAGCGATGTATTATCTATATTCTTTTTTTTTCTTCTATTTATTAATAAAATTTAATTATTTTTTTTTTATAGAGTTCACATTATGTACCAGAACAAACATTACCACCGACGACATTATCTATCCCAAAACCGGTAAGAATAAATCTTAGTGATTATTCAACATATTATATTTTGTTTTTGCTTTCAGCAATGTACTACTATCCTTCCATGTAAAAGTGTAAGTATTTAACCCTTTGCCCTTCTTACAGCATAGAAGTGTATTCTGTCCAAACGAATTTCTCTCGTAAGCTGAAGAACATGTACCCATAGATATTAATGAGAAACAGCTGTTCAGAAGTTGACAAATAAGAAATAGATATTGATTTAATGGAGAATCTATGATAAAATTGCTAATTGTATATCATAATATTTTCGAAAAATATTTAACAAATAATTAGTAAAACTCCTTTTTCGAGAATTCTGAGATGTACCATTGAAAAACATTTCTTTTCAAATTTTATTGATGAAAATTTAGATCTTAAAAGTTATCTTCCTATGAATTTAACTATCAATAAAATTGAACAATAGTCGATTGAAATTAACACAATTGTTTATCGAACTTGAAAAATTAAAATCAATATGAGATGAGTACAATATTCATTATTTAACTGTCTATATCATAAAAAATGAGTAATTCGTATTTGATTATTAATAATTTATTTTCAAGATAAATTAAAATATATCTTTTTTACATAATTAAACTATTCCTAAACTTCTAAAATGATATAGCCGAATCTATATATGAATGAGAAAATTAGTATAAGATAAAATTAATGAAAAATTCAATAGATTATTATTATTCTATAAATAAATTTCTTTATATTTAGCTTCATATATTTGCTATTGGTCCTCGTGTACGTAAAATGTGTTATCCAGAACGAACAAATTTATTATGTTCAAAATTATCTGATTATGATGATTTATGTAATCATATATCTCAACGTCAAGGTTTAACAGGTTTTTATCGAGCATTTATGTCAACAAGTACACAATGGTTATCAAATTTATTTGCTGGTATTTGTGTTAATGCAAATCTTGTTAATATGCATGTTAGTTTCTTTTTTGTTTCATAGAAATTATTTTATGAATATTTTGTTTTTGAAGGAACAAATTATATTTGATACAATTGAAGATATGTTTCAACAAAAATTACTACAAAATGACATTCTTGATGTACAAGGATTAAAACCTCAGTAAGGTTTTAAATTAAATTCGAATAGAATTATTGAAAGAAAGAAAAGATAAGAATAGTACATTTCTATATGTAAACACCAATCGAATACTTGAACTTATAAATAATCGTTCAAAATACAAATTCATATAAGACGATGATTTTATTTTTATCTATGCAAATGATTAATATATTTATTTTATTGTAAGAATGAAATCATACAATTTGAGATTAGATATTTTTTAAAATGTTCTAGACATATTGTAATGTTAAATATTACTTGTGATGTTTTTGTTTTTGTTTTCTCTAAAACATATCCGACAGATCTTTCTTGTCTTATTGATAGACAACTACTATCAGTCGTCATATGATCTATAGATCAGTTTTTCTTTATATATTTATTTATTTATTTATCATTTCATGGTATTCTATTGTATTTGTAAGAAAGACAGATGTACGAAATCAAACACTAATCGAGGTCTTTATGACCAAAGCTAACAATGCACTAGATCGAACGTTATGATTAACAAGAAAAAAAAAGAAAATTAGTCGAAACGAAACCAAAAAATTTTAGTTAATAAGAAGTACTAGATTTTCGGAAGACTTGTACTTTCAATTTTTAACCTGAAATTTCACACATCTAAAGAGAACTCAACTAGACTAACTTCAATAAAAACAAAAATAAAATCTCTTCAAGATATGCATCTTGCAAAAAATATATATATGTAATATACATTATTCCATAAAAAAGAGTTTTATATCTTGACAAGATTTTGTTCAACAATTTTTAATTGAAACATTTCAATATTAACAAAATTATTTTTGTTTTTCTTTCTAGATTTCAATATTGGTGGCATGGTACTCATATCAATGGAACAGCTTCAACTGATACATGTAAGAAAGAAAGAAAATCATTTAGTTATATTTTATTATTATTATTATTATTAACTAGGTCATGATTGGAGTCGTCAAGATTCAAGTTTATCTGGTCTTGCAAGTCCTATACCAGATAGTAAACATGGATTATTTCGTCAATTACATACATGGCCATGTTCAATAGATGATATAAATATGGGAATTTTTTGTATTGAAACAAATTGTCAATGAATAAATTATCATTAACATTAAAAACGAATTGTATTCGGACGATAAGAATTAACAAAACGATAATATATTTGTGTATTTCTATATAATCGTCTTTGAGGATAATATATAGGTATTCGAGATGGTGGTATATATGGTATATAATGTTGTTGATTTGAATTATATCTATAATTAAGATATTGATATGTTTGAATTTGATTTTGAAATGATATTTGTGGTTGAAAATTTGATCGTGAACGATGAACACGTGTTTGTTGTTGTTTATTATTTGTTAAAATAATATTTTCTTTTATTATTTTTGGTTGATTTCGTCGATGTTTTTTTCCACGACGACGTCGAGATGATGATGATGATGGTTGAAATTGTTTTTGATTTTGTGTATGAATAAAATGAGATGGTGTTGTTGAATGATAATATGAATCTTTTTTATGATGAAATACTGATGATGTTGATGGTGGAAGATTTTCATTCATTGGTAAAACATATGAATATGGTTGATTATATGGTGTATTGTGAAATTTATTAAATTTCTACACAAAAAAAAAGAAGATAATATATAGAAATAAATAAAAATAAAAATGAAATACCCAATGAATATCAAAATCATTTGTCATTCGAAAAAAATTTTCTTTATTTAAAAATTGTTGTTGAAATCTTGGTGGTAATTCATAATGTTGTTGTTGTTGATGATGATGATGATGATGATAATAATAATTTGATGATTTTTGATTTTGTTTTTTATTTATTTCATTATCATAATTTTCTTGATAATATTTCTTTTTAGTTTTTCGATGTTGATTTACACATATTGTTGAACATGATGATATAATTGTTGATTGTTCATCATTTATTGTTTGTGATATATTAACTAATGGATAATTTATTTTTTGTATTTTTTCTTTTGAATTAATATTTTCATTATAAACTTGTTGTTCATAAATTTTTGGTTCTTCATCTGGTTCTTCAATAACAATAACACTAAAAATTAAAAAAACAAAAAAATTCATTGATTGATTTAAAAAAAAACAACAATTAACCCAGATTGTTTATTATTATTATTATTCATATGTTGATTATCATGAATAGTTTCATTACTATTATGAATATTTGTAGTACGATTATTAAATGTTTTTTCAAAATTATATTTTAAATTTTTAAAAAATTTTCTTAATTCATTTTGATTACTAAATTCTTGTTCAACAAATACACGTTGTTGATCACCATTTTTTCCAATATGAACTTTTGTTAATTGAATCTAATAAATAAGAAAAAAAAAAAAAGAAACATTATTTCAATAGAAAAATTTATATATATTTATATTTTTTTGTTTTTTCGTTTACTGTAATACGATTATTACTAGTAATCATTGGTTCAGACATATAATAATATGTTGATTTATCTTGAAAATAATATGCTGGTATACGATGATACTGTTGTTGATGATGATGATAATGATGATTTCTTGTCATATTTGATTTCCATTGTTGTTGATTTGTTATATCATTGAAAATATATGGAGCTGTTCCCATTGAAGTAAAACCATGAGATGGCATAGGAAAATATTCAAATATACGACTAAAATTTACATGATGACTACTTTGATTTGGTATAGGACCTGAATGATAATAAGATGAATTATTTGGCATATAGAAATGATTTGGTCCATGATTATTATGAAATACTGTTTGTTGTTGTTGTTGTTGTTGTTGTGATTGAGAATAAAATTGTTGATGAAACATAATTATGTATTTTCTTTTCTTTTTAATGTGTCATGTATTCAACTGATCATTTTCATATGAAGAAACTAGATGTGTATACATCATTGAACCAAATGAACACTTATATTAATCATTTTGATGCGTATATATGTTCGGTCAATGGTTGTGTGATGATGGGTGACCGTACACCATCATGTCAACGATGTGCATATGTATCTTATTCAATTTTTCTCACGCTCTTCGTTTTTTTTTTACCGTTTCGGACTAGATGAAATCAATGTCGATTTGTTTTTTCTATATATTCTGTATAAAAATGTTTCATGCACGATTGCGTACAATATAGAATATATATATATCTGTTAAGATAAAAAAAAAACGGAGACGAACTCATCTCCATCATAATTTCTTTCTTATCATCATGTTAGTCGTTTGATGAAAATAATATCACGAGATAGAGAGACCAAAAAAAAAAAAAAAACGAAATGTTATTTCAATATGGTGTAAAAGACAAGAAGAAAAAGAATTATGTGAAATGTCAAAAAACGAACACACGATGAACTATGAAGAATAGTTTGTATATGATAATCAATCCATTTTATATTTGACTTGCATATCCTATGATAACAAAAAAACAAGCAAAAAATAAAAAAATGATTGATCAATTTTATTGATATTTTTATTTAAAAGAAGAAAAAAAAAACTTACCTTGATGATACGAATGAGTGTAAGACGATTATCACTTGATAGATTTAAATCAATAGGTACTATTTCTTCTGGACCTTTCATCATTACAGGTACAGAACAAATTATATTTTCATTTATTTGTTCTTCATCATTTGTTTCTGTTAAACCTAAAGACGAACTTGAACAAGACATAACACATGAATATGAATAATCATCATTGGAACCATTGATCCAATCTGATAAAAAAGAAAATCACAAAATTTTATTTAGTAATAGTTATCAATAAAATAATCTTTACCTTGAATAAATGATAATATAGCTGATGCTTGTGTATGAACAAGTATTCGATTATGTTCAGCACGAGTATAAAGGTCAAAATCTACAAAACATATTAGTTACATTGTGTGTAAATATTTAATTAACTAAATAATTTACCTCGATTTTCAACTTCTTTGCCAAGAACTTCTTTAAACCATTTTGAATCAGCTAACATATCTATTGAATTTCTTAAAAATGTTCGTGCCCATATAGCACCTTCATAATCAATTGTTTGACAATGACTTGTATCAATAATATATTCACCATTAATATCTCCAATAATATGTAGATCAACAATATCTAAATCATAGAGAAATTCACTTAAGATTTTTCACAATCAATATTAAACTTATTTGATAAACTGATTCAATTAGGATCAAGTAAATAACTAGAAATCATCTGGAATATACAGGGCTTTATACTCCAATTAGTTCAGTTATCCTTGAAAAAGAGATATATCTAGTATATTTATTGATAAGTGCGCATCAGGTCTCGAAAAGGAATACCCCGTCCGACGGTTTTATCCTATTTTGACATTTGACTCGCCTCTGAGGGGATGGGATAGGGGAAACGTTTCCACGCTACCCCTCTCGGTCATCACTTTGTCCTAGGAAACGAAATTTTCTTCGTCCTCGGGCCAGGTCATAAAAAAAAGTGGACTGCTTCGAGGCCTAGTGCGCATAAACAAAGAACATTATATAAATATATTAGAACCTTTAGCAAATTACTAAACATAGGCCTAATTCTATTGCTAATCTTGATTCTATTCATAGTTGGACACGAGGAAAAAACAAAAAAACTTTACTTTTAAGATCAACATTAAGTTTTTTTCCAATTCTTGCTTTAGCTTGATTTTCAATTGTTCTTGAAAGACCAAGAATATTATTTGTTGGAATATTTTTAATTGTTTTTATAAATGCTTGTGTTGCAATCATAGTTGAATTCGAACAAGCAATAAGTATTTGACATGTTGATTTAATATTTGTTTGAATTTGATTAGCTAATATTTTATAATAATTAAATGCTTTTTTATAATCATATTTTATTTTTTCTGGTATAAATGGTGGTCGTTCATCATCAAATAAATTTGCTTCATCATATAATTTATTTAATTTTAGTTTTTCATTAACTAATAAATCAAAATATTTTTGTTTTTCTTCAAAAAAATAATCATCAATAATTAAAATAAAATCTATATTTTCATAAAATTTTTCATTATTTTGTAATGAAATTTCAATATTATGAAATTGTTTACATGCAAGATCTTCAATTTCCATTGACATTGCTTGTAAATATGATAAATTTGATATATTATTTGTTGTTAAACGAAGGCATATATCACGATTAGGAAATAAATTTGTTGAAAATAATGTTGGAAATAATTCATATGCACATGGATGATGTGCACCAACAATACAAACATAATATGGATTTATTGTTTGTTCAATATATTGATTTTTTAATTGAATATCATTTGTATATTGTTGAAAATTTTCTTCTGCAATTAAACGAAAAAGTGCTGATGAATTTGTCATAAAATGATCAAGAATTGTTCCATAATAAGATTGAGCATATTCTTGAAAATCATCAAGATCACCAACTAATGTACTACGACCACCACGTTCAAGTAATTCACGCCATATAATTGGAGATGATCGTTTAGTTGATTTCCATTGATATTTTTCATATATAGAATTTATCCAATCATCCCAATCCTAAATATAACAAAAATTTGCTTGGATTTTTTCTTACAATCGTAAACTTTAAGAATTTTTCCAATGATTTTAACTGAAAACTTTCTTTTCAATATTTTATCTTACTCTTTAGAAAATTTTGATGAATTCGAATCCTTACGAAGTTATTTCAATTCAAAAAGAGCTTCTCTATATTCGTAAAATATGACTTCACAAGTTATGAGTAGTTCGTTTTTTTTAATATTTTTACAATTGTTATAACATTTTCTAATTTAATAAAATTTTTTTGAAAATATTCGAATGAAACATTTTAAATAATAGCGGATAAACCATTTTCTTTTTCTCCGTTTAGTATATCCGATTTGTTCTGTAATTTCAATTAATCAATTTTGTGGTTCATATTTATGGTCCTTACGACTTGATTTAATATTTCGAAGGTCTCGAAATCAAAAGATATAGAAGAAAATATCTCATAGAGAAAGTACAAAATTCAAGTAAACTTGATAGTTTTATTGAGTAATAATGAATAATTTTCAAATATTGAGAAGAAGAAATTAATCATATTCGTAGTTTCTAGTGTCGAATTATATGATATTCAATTCTATCATAGATACAATACTATGAACAACTTGAAATACTTAGCAAAAATCTTTGTATTATGAAGAACAATAAATTTCAAGTATTATACTTTTTGTCATCAAATCTATTTACATAACTATAAAGAATATCTCATAATAAATTATTAACAATATTTTTCCAACTCTTTATTTTTTTTTGACGTAGAAAACTACAATATTTATTATATCAAATATCTAATCAAGATTTAAATTCTCTAGTTTAAATTTCATATTCAAAATATGAATTTTCATAAATTCAACAATCATAATACAAGAATGAAATTTTTAACTGAACAAAAATTTATTATTATATATAGAATTTTTCAGATTTGTTAATAAATTTTGTATCTTAAATATTCATCAATTATAATTAAACGAAAAAAAATTTTTATATTTATAATATATAGAACTAATAGATAGAAATATTCTATTGAATAATATATGACACGCATTGAAAGTAAACGTTACATGAACAAACATTTGATATGTCATTGTAAATTGAAAAAAAATTAATTGCAAGAAAAAAAAAAGAAAGTGTACAAAAATATTGATCAATTATAAACAGTTATAGAAAATGATGAAGATGAATTAATTATACCAATTATCTTTTTCTTTGACCTTCTCTTCATATGAGTTTCTTTCTTTATGTTATTACTTAGTTGTCTGTTACATTTGTTTCTCCCCCTCCCCCCGTCCCTTACCTTGGCTTCAATTGACCATTTATGAATAGTAAAATTAGGTAAATTACGTTGAAGATAATCTCCTAATAGTTCTGCTTTGGCATAATGTGGACAATTAGCTTTTCCTTAAATGAAACAAATATATATATTCAAGAAAATTTTCTATATCAATTGACAATCGTTACCAGCGATCACAAATTTTGCCATTGCACTATGATTAAACTGAGTAACTACCTCCGTTGTCGTCTAGCAGCATTTTATATATATATTCTTTAGTATTTACCAATAGAATTTTTTTTCTTTTATTAAATATTAATAAAAAATCTTTTTCTTTTTTCTTTTTTTAAAGAAATTTTTGTAAACAAAACAAATTTTGAAATATATAAATATTTATTTATTTTCAATCATTATATATTATATTTTATTGGTTAATTTTTTTTCATCAATAAAAAATTTCGGATAAGTTAATCTCTCTATATATATGTGTTTTTGTTTTGTTGTCGATATAAAATTATTTATTTTACTTTCTTGAAATTAATATTCTCGTTTTTTACTTAAATTGAATTTATGGCTCCACCAAAATATGCCGATCTTAATAAACAAGTAACAGATATATTTAATAAAGGTTTTTGTAAGTTAATTTTTTTTTTTTGTTTTTTTGATTATTATTCATATATTTTCTTAAGTTTTCAATTTATTTAAACTTGATGTTAAAACACGTACGGCTAATGGTGTTAATTTTAATGTTATTGGTGAACATAATACAGAAACAGCACGAACATTTGGTAGTCTTGAAACAAAATATGTTATTCCAACATATGGTTTAACATTTTTGGAAAAATGGAATACAGATAATTTACTTAAATGTGAAATAACAGCTGATGATCAATTAGCACAAGGTTTTAAAGTTGTTTTTGATGCTAGTCTTGTACCACATACAGGGTATAATTAAATTGAATTTTTATTATAAGAAGAAGAAAAAAAAAATCAATTGATTATTTTTATTTTTTTTTTTTTGAAGAAAAAAA